GCAACCGCCAAGCTTCGTGAACGAGAAGTATCCGGATCACTGCTACATAGTTGACAAAGCAGTATATGGCCTAAAGCAGGCCCCCAGAGCATGGTATGAGACTCTAACTCGATTCTTAAAAATGTATAATTCAAACAAGGTTCGATTGACCCAACCTTATTGATATGTGTATTTTTATATATATTTTTATGCACTTTATCTTAATATTTTGGCCTTATTTATTCTATTTTAGAACTAAAGAGTACTCATAATACTTTGAATTATGTTTTGCAGCTATTTGTTGTCGATAAAGCACAAAAGAAAATATTGAAGCGGAAATCGGGCTTAGAAGCTGAAAGAAAGAAAAGAATGTTGAGGTAGCGAGTACGCCCCGCGTACCTTAAGGTTACGCCCCGTGTACATGCTTGCACCGGATAGACTTGATCGCGTGCTTATCCAGAGTACGCGCTGCGTAATCCTAAGTACGCCCAACGTACTTAGGTCGGCCACAAAGATTATAAATGTTGATTTTTAGCTAACCAGGAGGGGGGATTCGACTTCTAACCTAATTTAGTCGACAATTAACTTCTGTTAAGCCGTTTTGAGGGTCTAGAAGGCGGCCGGAAGGCCGTTAAGCTAACGGGAGCAGAGATCTGAAGGATTGGAGAGCGGATACATGTCGGTAATCATATGGATTGCTAAGGTGACCATGTTTAGCACTTCCTTATGGTACTTTTTGTATTTAGTTTCTGATTTGGGTGTAAAAACCTTTTACTTTGTGCTTATGATTGAATGAAGTTTTGATTCTTAGACTAATTGTTATGTTAAATAATTTATTTGTGTTTAATTTATCTTGCCAAGCTTGTTCAAAGATCCTCATGTGTTAATGATGATTATTTGCTGTTAATTGTTAAGTGAATTAAGTTGTATGAAAACCTGCTTGATTTGCTTGTCTCTTATGATTTTTGATGACCATTGAGATTATAAGACTAGAAATAACGAATGTGAAACTAGGATTAACTTGGGAATAAGTAAGTTAATGTGTGAGCCTTGTTTGATGACCATCAACAAGAGGTTAATTAAATGTTTAAATTAACTAAATTTACAAGTCTTGCTTGATACGAACTGAACACTAGGAAGCATGTTAGTTTAATCAATTGATCACTGTTTGAATTAACTTGTTTGCTAAAGGATTAGTTATAGTGAACATGAATCTAATCAATTTAGGAATCGGTGAACATGAATAAATGAATTTGTGTATGCAATTGTTTATGTTTTCAAGGTGGAATTAGTCTAAACCAAAGTACCTAAAGAGATTTGTTTTCCTGTTAGTTTATCGAGGATGGGTAATTAATTATTAGTTTGAGGTTTATTAAATTATGTCTTTTATTCTTTTCGTGTGACCTATAATCAGATATATTAAATTGATCCACCGTTCCCTGTGATCGACACCCGACTTACCTAAGCTATACTGTAATCTGACTAGGTACACTGCCTATAAGTGCATATTTAGTCTAAGTTTGTTAGGTTATAAATATTAAAATTAATGGGTACTTTTGTGCACATCACTTATTTCAAAAGAGAGAAGGTAACCACCTTATGATGGTCCAAATTTATGTTGATAATATCATCTTCGGCTCCACGAATCCCAGCTAAAAAACTGAATTCAGGAAGTTGATGGAAACTAAATTTGAGATGAGCTCAAAGGGTCCAATTAACTTTTCCATGGCTTAAGCATTAGACAGAGACCCGAAGGCATTTTTATCAATTAGGAGGCATACACCAAGACACTGTTAGCTAAGTTTAGTAGATGGGAGACTCCAAAGTTAAGGTTCCAATGGATTTTGGGATGAAGCTTACACCCTTACTGGAGAAGCCAGCCGCTGACATGACGCTCTATCGTCAAATGATTGGGTCTCTAATGTATCTCACAACTAGTAGACCTGACATCATGTTTTCAGTCTGTCATTGTGCCAGATTTCAAGCTAACCCATGTGAACCTCATTTACAAGCTGTGGAAAATATCTTTCTCTATTTAAAGTGAACCTCCTCTCTTGGTCTATGGTATCCAACCAACTCAGGATTCTTTGTCCAAGCATTCTCAGACGCTGACTTAGGTGGTTATGGATTAGATCGTAAAAGCACCATTGGAGGATGCCAATTTCTTGATGGTAAATTGGTTAGCTGGCAATCAAAGAAACAAACTTGTGTTTCTCTCTCCACTGCAGAAGCTGAATACATCGCTGCGGCATCATGCACATTTCAAGTTATATGGATACAAAGTCAGCTCAGAGACTACGGGCTTAATATGAAGAAAATCCCACTATATTGCGACTCTGAAAGTGCAATTAGGATTTGTGATAACCCTGTGCAACATTCGAAGACTAAACATATCGCTCTGAGGTATCACTTTATCAAGGATCATGTGGAAGATGGCAATGTGGAAATTCATTTCGTAAGGACGACTGATCAACTTGTGGGCACATTCACTAAGGCATCACCTGAAGCAAGCTTCAACAAGATTTGGCAAGGCCTAGGAATGATGGAAGCAGAATCAGTACCAAAACCGCCTTCGATTCAATAAAGGTAAGAAGCGAAATAGAGCGAACCGAAATGAACCAAACGTTTGATTTATTTCGGGTTCGGCTCGACTAGGAACCGAAGTGAACCGAACATTCGGTCTATTTCGGGTTCGGTCCTTTTGAACTTGTTCGCTTCTTTTTCTTCGCAAGGCATTTTGATTGTATGTACCTCTTTTAAACATTTCCTTTTACATTCATAAAACCCAAAAATATTTTTCTTTTTCGTTCAAATAAATAATTTTCACAAAATACAAAAATATTTTTTTTTCGTTTCATTTAACGATTTCTTTTGTATAAGTGTTACTCTTGATGATGAAGATCTGAAAGGTATAATCTCTTTTCTACACATTTTCTATGTGTCCCTACAAGCATGCTGTTGCATGTTGACTAAAGCCTCGACAGATTTTGAGTGAAGCCTTAATAACATGACACATACAAATCATGTTTTCCCAAGCTAGGCTTCTATATTCACTTTAATCATGAGCTACCTTACTCTATTGCGATTGAGCTTAGAGTTTTCTTCTTTGTTTTTCTTTTATAGAAGAGGTACATATGTTTCTTATACCACCTCCATCATTTTTCTCCATTATACTTCATCTCACCAATATAACCCTTGAGACTCTGAGCATTTACCACTGAGGTTTATAGTTATACAAAATTTGTGTTAATGATCTTAGTTTCGTGTCACTATGTACTAAGTGAAACCCACCATTCAATACCATTAATGAATTGACGGTACACAAATCATATGTTACAAATGCAATCTCTTTTTATTTTGAGTGATTCTTCTGAAAATTTCTATTACCAAGAATTTTTCTTCCCTAAGGATCCAGTTGAATTTTTTTTGGGATTTCTCACCTATCCAACAGTCAATACAAATCTTCCCTACCTACTTGTTCAACAGATCACATTGATCTTACAAGTACTTCGTTCAGTTTCGATCTTATATCAAGTATCAAAATCATGAATTAAAGCAATAACCACCCTTAATAAGCTTTACTTAAAAAGATGCCTTTCAATACTTCTTCACAAGTATTTGATTGTTATTTAATGGGAAGCCACACAAGCACTTTAAAGTCCCTCTTGACTTTGAAGGAAGATATTCATGCCCAAAATTAGTTTCTTTATGTCTTTTTTAGACATCACAAATTATCACAAAAAGTTTGCTTTATTTCTTTATCTTTTACACTCTTTGCACGAAAACTTTTGATTTTCCAAAATCTGGTTCTATTAATGATGCTCTAATTGTTCTAGCTTCGTTTCTTCAAGAATTACAATGTTCACTAAAGTTAAAAGGCAATGACGGTTCATGTGCATTCTAAGGTGACGATTCGGATAACATTAAGGCTGACTCAGCTGTGATCCATTGGTTTCGATGATTTGAAAAAACACTTATTATGGAATGGCGTGTAAAAATGAAACATCCTTTCTCTTTCCTGCATCATCATCGTGTATGACAACTGTTCATCTGTCACATCATGCGCAATCTTTCAAATAAATCCAAGATATCAGTCATTTTTCTCTCTCTTACTAGTAAGTATAAAAGGATTAAGGACACTCCATTTTACCCTTTTATGACTTACAAAACTCTCTCAAAGAACAATGACGATTCATCTTACTGTTCATCTTCTTCTCCAAGCTTCTACAATGGCAGACTCTTCTTCAGTTCACGATACCTCTATTCGCCAAACCCTCCTCACCATCAAACCTCAACAAAACCTGATTATCGATCTTACTCCCTTCATCTATGACCCCTACATGTTGTATGTTCTCAAGTATCTAAAATACTCTCCTCTTGTCGATGCTCTGTCTAAGGTCGAAATTGTTCCCATTTCCTCCCTCTCACTCCTCTACTTCACTGCTTACTACAACAAAGTTGCTGAAAGGATTCAATTCGAGATCCATAACGAGAAGACTTCCATCTCTAAGCACCGCTTCTGTACCCTAATTGGTCTCTCTCAAGAACCAACCTTGGTAAACCCTGAATCGATCTCTACTGGACAACTGTTCTCAATGTTTTATCAAATGGGGTACACTGAAACCCTAACCACTATCACCAGGTTCAAGAAGTCCTGCCTTCCTCCTCAATGGAATGGCCTATTTACTCTACTGTTTAACGGACTCTCTGAGTGAAGCACCGGCTCAGATGGAGCAAGCAAGTCATTTATGACTGTGCTTTACGGTCTATATCATGGGATAGATATGGACTATGGGCCAATCATCTGGAAACAAATGGTCCAAAGCTTGCATTCTTCCTCAAGACACTCAGAAATCTCAAGTGGCAGGTATTGGTCCATTATCACCAAGTGGGCCATGGATCGTCTTCATGTTCCAATAATGACAGATTCTCTTCTCTCCTCCATCGCCACCTTTCACACAACCAATATAATCGTCATGGATCCCACCAGGTACTCCTTCATTGGATCCATCCCTGATACCATGGTTGCCTGTGTATCTACAACAAGCACTGTTCTGCAACAATACAGGAAGCTTCCTTCTTCGGGTCCAAGGGAGCTCACGCAATCTATGGTTCGCTCCATTGAAGAGGCGGACAAGCCAATAAAGCAGGGAAAGAGTACCGAGACTCAGAAGGAGACGAAGGTTACTAAACCAACTAAGGGGCAAACCCCGAAGAAGCGAAAATCTGACAAGGCTGCTTTGTCACAGCCTCAACCGAAGAAACTGAAAAAGCCTACTCGGAGACTCATACTCCAATCTTCAACTGATTCAGAATCAGAGTATGTTCCTCCCAAACACAAATCTGTTCCTCCTTCAGAATCTAAAAGCAAAAGCTCTGATGATGAGGCTTCGAGTCGAGGTGACACCCTGCCTCGCTCACCTACCCCAGAAATACCAGTTTGCTCCCTACCTCTTTCTCCTCCACCTGTTACCATCCCATTATCCATCCCTCCGATATTTCCTATCCCTATCTCTCAACTATCCACCACTATTCCCATCCCTACTCCAATCTTCACAGACACTACCACTACTATACTACTATAGGGGCTCATTCTAAAGCTCCAACCCCACCTGTTACAACCGAACCACCACTAACAACCGAACCTCCTGTCACTACCAAACCCTTATCCCTTACCCCATCCACTGACACCATAGTTCTAGGCATTGAGGACTTGGAATTTGATTCCACTTATTTCAATCCTTACCGTGTACAAAGTGATGAAGACGGCGATGAACCTGTTACCAAGCGTCATCTCAATGCAGTCAACGACAAACTCGATCAACTGCTTTCCTCCTCTTCATCTGGGATTTATTCTGATGCTGCTTTAAAGGCTCTGTTCTCCTCTATTGTGACATCCCCAATTTCACGGCCAGAAAAGACCAGTTTTGTTTATGCTTGTTTGAAAATCAGAGTAATATTTTACATAAAAGTGTTACGGAATTTGTTCCCAAAATAAAAATATGATAAAGATTTATCAAAGCATTTCCATAGAAATGTATTTCATTAAAAAGACTCAGGATGTCATGTTCGATACAGATCAAAAGCATAAAAAGTACATTATAAGCCTTACAACAGTTATTTACAACTACTAGCCTATAATCCAAAAATCCCTCATCATCATCCAAATTATGCTCTAGGTCCACTACCTGTAAAACAGAAAGCTGAGTGGGTCAGGCTTGGGAGCCTGGTGAGCATATAGGGCTTTTAACCCACAAATAATAATAAATTTATTAATTGCATCGATCAATAATAAATTTATTAATTTTATCAAACCAACTATAACCCTGATTACCCATTCCCGTTATCCTCACGTTATGTCCCTAAACACGTATACAAGGGACCTAGTCTAAGGATTTTATCATCAGGATGGACTTTACTGCTAAGGGGATTCCTTAGCTATATATGTCCGTAAGGCAACCATGAGGGGGATGGAGTACACCGGTGAACATCAAGCCCACAAACACCTACAGGTTGCGAGCCTGCTAGCGTTCCACTAGACTGTCTAGAAGAGTCCGTGGTCGTCATCCATACTCCGCTAGATGACTGGAACAACAACAACATCGAGGCCTCTCATCATTTTAACACATATCAACTATTTCATCTACCCATGTTATACCCAACATATTTGTAGATAAAATATATATACCGTTTAAATCATTTTAAAACTTGTATAAAACATTCATTCAACAATCATCTCAAATAAACAATCAATATATATATATATATATATATATATATATATATATATATATATATATATATATATAGCACGTATTTATATAAAATACTTCATATCTATGTGTAAGATGAAAGTGACTATACACTCACTTGATTTGATGATAATCGGGCAGCAATTCGTTTCTTAAAATGATCGTCTATGATAAAACCGGGAGTTTTATTGAGAAACCAGGCTCTGCGAGGGTTGGAGCTTCAAAGCCGAAAAGATAAAATTTTCCGGGTCTTCGGGCACTTCGGGATGTATTCCGAGCTTTAAAAATGATATCGGGGCTTCGGGGGAAGTCAAAATAGTCAAAATATAAGTTTAGGGGTGAAAAATGTCAATTTTCCAAAAGTACTAGGGGGATCTCGCAACCCTCCTATTTATAGGGTGCGAGACCAAAGATTGGTGGCTAAGGAGGCTCCATGTAGCAGGCTGCGAGGCTTGGACACGAAGGGGAGACGTGGCTGCGAGGGGGCGAAGCGCGTGGCAGCAGCGAGGGCGAGACACGGAGGCCAGCCATGCGAGACCGAGACAGGTGGAACACGCGCCAGATCTGGACTTGGCCACGAATCGGTGACGCAGCAGCTTCGGCCACGAGGCGGTTTCGCGAGAAGGGTGACGTGGCCGACTCCTATTCATGAGAATTTTTCGAAAATTGCACCCAAAACTTCTAAAATTCATAACTTTCGCATACGAGCTCCGTTTTTGACGTTCTTTATGTGCACGCATAGGTGGGAATATATTCTACAACTTTTGTTTAGACTTCATCGGCTAATATTGAATTTAATTTTAATATTATCATTTTTAACAGACTGGGACAGGAAAATCCGTTAAAAATTCGTAACTTCTTCATCCGACGTCCGTTTTCGTCAGTCTTTTACCGTTGTACTACTATTGTCGAGACCTTCGATTCTCGTTTAGGTTGTGTCGGCTAAATATCGATCGATCTTAAATTCGAGTATTTAGTTGTCTACTGCTAAGCTAAAACTTAGAAAAATCATGATTTCCTCATACGAAGTCAGATTTGGACGTTCTTTTTATCAAATTCTCGGCTTAACGAATACTATGACTTTTGTTTAGATTGTTAAGGCTAAATTGCACTTTATCGTAAATTCACTTTTTACGCTTCCCGGTGCCGTGCAGGTTCCGTCGCGAAACTTCGACAGGTCATAACTTCTTCGTTATAACTCGGATTTCGGTATTCTTTATATCTCCGGAATCCTTGTTTCGGCCACTACAACTTTCTTAAAAGATATCGGGTTTTTCTAATATTTATTTTCAATGCTTATTTTCATTATTAATTAATTAAATCATAATAATTAAGCAAATAAGCATATAATTCACATGATATTCACATAATTCCTCTTTATTACTTCAAAATAAGTTACAAAGGTTGACCTAGACTATTACAGCATTATTAATGCTTTTAGACGAGAACACGGGCGTTACATCTATTGTTTAAGAACATAGTGCCTCCCTTACAAATGCAGCTAAGGCTATAGACGCCTCCACTTCCCAATACCAGAAAGCCTCCCTTGCAGTTGAGACCTCCACCAAGGAATGCAAAGAAGAAACCGCAAAAGTCTATAAACTAGTTTCTGAGGCTAACCTATTTTTGGATTCTTTGCAGGTGGCAGCTCAGAAAAATTTCTCAAACTGTCAATGCTTCGGTTGATAACCTTCAGCGTTCTCTTCAAGCTGAACGGTCCAAACTTGAATATGCTTGTCAAGCAATCGAAGCCGCCAATGCTACTCTACACGACAAAGTCAATGATTGATTAACTCAATTGGAGGCAGAGTTGGCAGTTGAAAATCGCATCATGGATGAACTTGACAAAAGAACTTCTCAACTGAAGATGCAGAATCTAAAAGTTCGCAATGCAACAGCTGAAATCAATGACTTGAAGTCTGAGTGGGAGGATATTCGAAGCTTCGTTGGCGATGTTCACTCCATATTACTTCACCTCCTTGAATCCCATGATCCCATCATTACCATCACCATCTGCAGGCATTTGGCTGACAATCTTTGACCTGCACCGGCCAACCTTAGTCGTATCGAGGGTGTTCCGGTGACTAGCGTCCAACCGAAACAAGGGGGAGAAAAGGTAGCAAAGACTCAACCTCCTCATGAACCAAAACCAACTGGTGAACCGAAGGTTAATGAAGCTTCGGTAAGTAAAAGAGACAAGAAGAAGAAGAAAATTGGGGAGGATGACACTGATAATGAAGAAGATGTTTATGAAAAGAATCCCGAAAACCCTTTTCAAAAGACAAAATCTTCTGTTAAAGAGCTTGAAGAAAAGTTCAAGCAATACACGGATGAGCTATTACAGAAGCAAAAGGAAAAGGAGCTCCTGGAAAAGAAGATGTCCATTTTTCCTGAATGGATTCTCGATTCGCTCCAAATGTGTGCTATCGATGAACCAAGTATACTTTGGCTTGAGCTGTGATGTCGTTTGGGCTTGACAACTCCAAGGATGCA